GAAGGGAAGGGAAGGGAAGGGAAGGGAAGGGAAGGGAAGGGAAGGGAAGGGAAGGGAAGGGAAGGATCAAAGACTGGCAACCCCCTATATGTACCGCTTAAACTTTACCTTCTCGGTCGAAGCAGAAAGTCTTTAAATGTATAGGGTCGCTCCATGGTGGGGTCTTCTGTCTATGGGAAGAAAAATGAAATTAGACAAAAAAGCAATAATCCTGAAAATTTCATATTTTCGACACACCAAAAAGGGTTACAGAGGAGATGTTTTGCTATTTTAGAACATGGTCCTTGTGCACAAAAAGCCAACTCTTCAATTGGTACTAGATGATTAAACAGGCCACAGACTCCATCCATCCTTAAGATCCACTAGATGTCACTATCCACACCAGATTCTGGGAGTCCAACTCTAGCCAGAGACAAATGACAAAATTACAGCCATTGGCTGCCAAGTGTAATTTTAACTGCAGGCTACAGTCTCGACCTCCAGGAGCTTATTAGCTTTGGACCACTATGAGCATTAATGCCTTTAATCCTTGTGACTCCAGAAACAAAGATTACCACAAAAATGCAAGATCTAATCTTTGACAACAGCTAATTTCTCACATTAAAATACCAAATCACAAGTCTGAAAGAAATGATGGGTTCTCTCCAGCACAAAGTCCAGGTGCACCTATCAGCTTTTGCTGGACTCTTATTTTAGTGCCAGTCTTGGAGCTCAAACTCAGGGCCTGGGCACTGTCCCTAAGCTTATATGCTCAAGCCTAGAGCTCTACCACTCGAGCCACAGCTCCACTTCCAGCTTTTTGGCAGCTAATTGGAGTTAAGAGTCTCACAGATTTCCCTGTCCAGGCTGGCTCCAAACTGTGATCTTCAGATCTTAGCCTCTGAGTAGCTAGTAGATTACAGGTATGGGCAACTGGCACTTGGCTCTGCTGGATGTCTTTCAGGAAGCTGTGATTGTATCTGAGATGTCTGTTCATTTCAAATGAAATTGGTACTTTTTTTTTTTTTAATGGTGTAAAGCTGGTTGCTTCAACAAAGCAGGAAATTGGAAAAACAAATGCTATTTAAAAACTATTGCATGTAGTAAAATCTCAACTAGACTCTTTAATTAAATGCAATTTAAAACATTTACTTTTGTAATAATAGGGACAAACAAAGTATAATCACTTCTTATATCAAGGTAGAGGTGTGTGTATATACATTTGCATTGCAAGTTTCTGTTTATGTTCTTCCTTGCTTCAACTCCCAATGACTTCCTACTCTCTTATAATAAAATAAAAATTCCTTCTATGATCCACCTGGTACACGAGTGCTTTTTAATTACCTTTAACTTCATTGTGAACCACTCTGTATGACAAACTCCTATTCCAACCATTTTAGGCTCACCTGCTGTGTGTACAAATCATGTCTAATGCTGCCACAGCGCCATGTACTGGCAGGTCTCTCTACTGGACAGGCAGCTGACTGAAGATAGTATGTCTATTTCCCTATAACCATCTTGCTCTTTGAGTTCCCATCCAGCCCCCTACCCTCACCACAGCTGATCTCATCAGCAGATCATCTCTCCTTCACACACACATGTTCATTTTTTCATGTATTAGTTCATCATCATCTTTCTGGGATGAGAAGAAAGGCTGTGAATTTGTTCACCACTGCTTCACTGGTGTCAAGAACATTGCTGGCCAAGCAGTTGATAAATTCATCTGATCTACAGAAAGTCCTGAGACCCTGGCGATCTACTATCATTGACAAGAGTCAAAGACACGCTGGGAATAAGAAAGGGTTCTAAAATAAACATGATTTATAATGGAAATTTTAGTAATCAAGAATATTGCTGTTGGTATTCCTTTCTCCCACTTATTCAGCCAACAAATCATTTTGGAGCAATAATGTATGAGAGATTTGTGGGTGGCACACAGTACCTGTCCGTAGGGGTACAACTATTTGGAAAGGGACAGGGCCAGCTCAGCCCTATTCTCTAGAATTTCAGGCACAGCAAATCCGGCACTGCAGAAGGCTGCACCCTGTCAGACTTGGGATAAATGGTTCAATGTGAAATTACTAGAGAGATCTTGATAGGTGGAGGAGAAGTGGGAGGAATGAGAATGGAAGCTTGGGGTCAGGGTACCCAGAGACTCCAGAACAATCCATGGTGTCAGTGAGAATTCTAGGAGCTGCAAGGCACCTGGGAGTAAGGAGAAGAGCACGGACCTCGGAGGGCTTGTAAGGCCATCTGTTCACACATTACTCAGACTTAACCCACCATCAAGAGGCAAACCCCACATCTGTGCTCTGGCTTTGTTACTTCAAGAGTTGACACTCAAGGCAAGGTCCTTACCCCTCGGGGCTCCTGTATCCTCATCTTACAAGGGTGTTGTAAGTGTTACACCAATCAGCTGAGGTGGTTTCCATACATTCCTCCTTGAAAGGGTGTGTCTGACACACTTTACCAAACTTGGCTGTTACCATCTTCAGCCAGTTCTGTATTCTCATGCCACTTGTTTATTACCAACTCAACGCCAAGCAAGAAAAAGTAGAGTGGTAAAAATGAAATTTCCCCTTCACGGGCATCCTCTAGCCTGGACAAGAAGTAACTTGTCAACAACTATGAGGCTCTTCTTGACATTTACCCAGCTTCCAATCTGACCACCTTCCCCAGAGCGGAGCCACGTGGAGACTCCCAGCACGGCACTGAGGGTGCCATGGGAAGTCATTTGCCACAGATGAAGGCAAGTTCCAAAGACAATCTGCCAGCTAGCTAGTGCTGTCACTTTAAGAAGAGTGCTTGTCTAATCAGAAGTGCAATCTCAACATGGAGTAAGGAAAAGATCTTTCTGGCTAACTGGAGGGGGAGAGTCTCCCTAGGTCCCCAGATCCAAAACCTGGCTTCAGCCACCAGAAGCTGCAGGCTACTCCTATCCCATTCATTCCTGGCAGTGCCAGAGGCACATCGATGCACGGGCAGAGGGCCAGCCTTGCTGATAACTGGCTGACTGCTGGGCCCAGGTATCCTTACCTGCAGAACACTCTCAGGAATGAGTAATGCCTCTCGGGTCCCTCTGATCGCCATGATGACGAATTATACAGATGTGTTGGAATATGTTCCCGCCACCAGCCACAAACACAAGAGGAGTGGAAGAATGCTCAAGTCTAGGGGGGACATCACCAACTTGGACACCCTGGAAATGGGCCAATCTAGAAAAACTCAAATTCAAACATCCCACCGTTAACCTAAGCAGACTGCACATTCGTATTTTGAAACAGCTTCTCCACACCCAGCGGAGTGTGGAGATTCTGTGCTGGGGAGGAGGGAGAATGGGTGGGTGGGTGGGGGGCTCTACAGACAGAGAGACAGAAGAAAAAGGTCAGAGGCATAACTGCTAGAAGTTCAATCTGTTGTCAATTCAAGTTGTGGGGTTACTTTTATCCCCAATTAGTAGGTTCATGTCATCAAATACTGTATGAACTTTTAAGGCGGTGATACACTGAGCTCAAGTGAACATGAAAGTTGCCGGGGCTCCGATAACAGCATCTCCTAGGTAGTGCACATACCACCATGGCTTGTGCAGCCTCTGCTTGGGAATAGAGAGCTCCTCTCCAGAGAGCTGGATAAAAGCTTGCTGCCAACTAGACCAGTACTTCCATTTTGCAGGCAAGCAGGGGCTAGGGAAGGAATACTAACTTGGTTAATGTTACCAGGTAAGCTAGCCATCTCCCAGATGGAAGTCAGCAATGCCTGACAGGTAAGATTCTCAACTACTAAAGCCTAGCATGGATTTGTGTTTCCTAATTCTCTGGCCTAAATAAAGTGTCATCTTACAAATCCTATTTGCTCTTCTCTGGTCTCCTTTTCCTCAGTTCTCAAGAGGAATTAAAATGCAAAAGAAATAGTCAAGATGAGCCATATGATCTGGATTAGAAGTAAAGAAAACAGAGGTCCTACCATTTGAGACAACTTGAACCTACTTCAGTGACTTTGACCATGCATAGCACTCGCTGCACAAACTTCCTGCCAGGCTTTCCAGATGCCTCCTCTTTGTCTCTCTGACAGAGAGCCACTGGCCTTGGAGGGGCTGGGAAGGTGGCTTAGTGGTAGGATACTTGCCTAGCGTGCATGAAGCCCTGAGTTCGATTCCTCAGTACCACATAAATAGAAAAAGCCAGCAGTGGTGCTGGGGCTCAAGTGACAGAGTGTTAGCTTTGAGCAAAAGAAGCTGAGGGACCCTGAGTTCAAGCCCCAAGACTGGTACCCAGAAACAAAAAACAAAAGACCCGCAGGACCCAGCACAGCAGGTGCTGGTGCAGGTGCCCAGGTGTTGACAGTGAGCTGTCGGGAACATGTAGGCACTCCATGATGTTGAAGTGCTTGGACTCAATTGTCCGCAGGGGACAAAAGCGGAGACTGACCTTCTAGTCTGCCTAGGAAGTTTCTTTGGGTTAGGGAACTTAGAGCTGTATATGGGGATGGGGAACAGTTTGAGAAAGACAAGCCTAAGATGGTGAGAGTGAGGTTTACATCGCAAACACCAATATCCAATGGTAACCATAGCAACTGGCCTCTAGAATTTCAACAAGGAAGAGTTCTTCAACCAACAATAGTCATGAGGTCTGCAGTATTTGTTTTACAAACTCACAGACATAAAATAGAGCATTTAAATGATTTAAAAGAATTTGATAACAGTCATGAGCTAAACTCACTTCTGCTGTTGACTTTTGCCCATCAAGTTCATGATATAGGTAGAGTTTCATTCCCTAAGACCAGAAAGAAGCAAGGCAGAGATAGTGATTTTTTCCCCTTTTGTGCTAGTACTGGGGCTTAAACTCAGGGCCAAGGGCACTGTCTTAGCTTTTTCACTCAAGCCCAGCAGCATTGTACCCCCTGAGCCACACCTTGCCTGCAGTTCTCAGATCTTAGCTGCCTGAGTAGCTAGGATTATAAGGTGGGAGCTACTATACCTGGTTGGTTTGTGTTATCTTGAACAATCAAGTAATGCCTCATTCCTAGTCTAATGCTTTTAAAGCAAATATATGAATATATAGGTAAAAAATGGAGGAATAGTCAACTATTTTATTAAGAAGCAGTTTTTAATATAAGAAAACTTATCTTCACCTTTATTCTAGGATTCAAATTTCAGAGTCTAATCTTATGCAAGTTAAATATTCTTAGTTCATTACATATGCAGAATTAGAAACAGTTCAAGGAGGAGAACAAAAGCATTAAGATTTACCATGAAACTCTGGAGGGCCTGAAAATCTTCCCACTCATTATTCCTTCAGTAGTTAGAGGCATGGTTTGGGGCAAAGGAAATTGAGAATCACCTATTTCATAAGGCTAGAATGCTGACTCTCTCTCTTTTTTTGCTAGTCCTGCAGCTTGAACTCAGGACCTGGATGCTGTTTCTGAACTAACAATCTACCTACTTAAGCCATGGTTCCACTTTTGGCTTTTTGGTGGTTAACTAGAGATAAGGTTTTCCTACCTGGGATGGCTTTGAACCGTGATCCTCAGATTGAATCTCAGCCTGCTGAGTAACTAGGATTACAGACATGAGCCACTGATGCCCACCTTTTGCCTTCATTTTCACATGTGCTACTTGCCACATGTGGCTTTCTTAGGGTTTAATCTTAATTAAATTGGAGTAGAACTGTGGTCCCAGCTCTTCCACTACTCCAACTATATGTCAAATGCTCTATGGCTATAGGTAGCTTCAGTATTGGTGGCACCCAGCTATATGAAGGAGAGCTCACTCCACTGATCCATTTTCAAAGATTAGAACCCTGACTCTCCAGAAGTATTTATGGAAGGAATGAATTCTCTAGCTGAAAATGGGGCCATATTAAACCAATCAAAATCATACACCCCTGCACTGACCTCCACCTTTACAACTGGGGTACTTTCTCCATTGTTCTAGCTCCCTTGATCCAAAGTAACAAACAATGGATTTCCAGACCACATGTAATCGGCCATGAAAATGTGTAGCTGTCAAGGAAAGAATATCATCCATTGTGCACTGGACAAAACAGGTTCAAATGCTCCTAGCCACCTTACATACTGCATTATCCCACAAAATGAACAACACTGCAAGCTTTACACAGTGTTCTCATAAATAAATGGCTTGATATGCATATTGACAGACCCTCAAATCCTGGGCCCAAAGGCCAACATCAATTCAGATATGCTCCTTGGGTTCTACCACCACACTTCCATCCTGTTTCAAAACGTGAGTCAATTTGAAGAATGGGCTCATAGGGCTTTAATGTAGAGTTTTCTTTGGGCATTTACATTAGTGGAAGAATCTGTTACGCCACTGGTTTTACTCATGTTGGGGTACTTTGTTCTCACCAGGTGCTTTTTAATCTATTTCTTTTAATTTTAATTTTTAAATTTTCGATCATGGAGCTTGAACTCAAGACCTGGGTGTTGTCTCTGAGTTTTTTTTTACTCAAGGCTAGCGCTGTACCCTTTGGGCCACACCTCTGCTTCTGGTTTTCTTTTTCTTTTTTTCTTTTTGCTTATGTGGTGCTGAGAAATCGAACCCAGGGCCTCATGCATGCAAGGCAAGCGCTCTACCACTGAGCCACCGTCCCAGCCCCTGCTTCTGGTTTTCTAGTGATTAACTAGAGAGTCTCACAGACACTTTTGTCCAGGCTGGCTTTGAACGATCCTCAGATCTCAGCTAAGTAGGATTACATGTGTGAGCAGCTGGTGCTTACTTTCTTTTAAAAAATTTATTAATGGGGCTGGGAAGGTGGCTCAGTGGTAGAACACTTGCCTTGCATGCCTGAGGCCCTGGGTTCAATTCCCCAGTACCACATAAGCAAAAAGAAAAAAACCGGAAGTGGAGCTATGGCTCAAGTGGTAGAGTGCTAGCATTGAACTGAAGAGCTGAGGGACAGCACCCAGGTCCAGAGTTCAGGCCCCACGACCGGACCCCCCCCAAAAAATTTATTAGTGTATATCAATCATACAAAAAATTGCATTTCACTGTGCATTTTCACCCTCCCATATTATGTCTCAGATCCTACTCATGCCTCATAAATTGTTCTTCAATCAATGTTCTGTTCTATTCTAGCACTGAGCCTAGGCACCAGTTCCTTCTTTGCAAGTACACTCTTACCTCCATGCGAAATCCAAAAACTATTCCCTCAATTGACTCAGTCTCTAAAGAACAAATGTTTTACTCTGTAGAAGTCAGGTTCAATCTTCCAAAACCATTCAATACTAAATCACACACAACAAGGCATTGGTGAAGGAATGTTGCTGAAAATTTCACTCAGCCTCTCATGAGGCCACGATGTGGTTTTTCCTTTGGGGAAACAGGTGGTTGGGGACACCCACGGAAGAAGTAGCCAACCAATGAACACCATTTAAACACAGGATTGTATAGCTCAGATCAGAGCATGGTAAGAGACTGATCTGATGCAGGAATGTATAAAGTCTTTCTTCAAAATGATGGCTTATGGGACTAGCCTAAGTAGAAGTGACACCACATGGACACACAAAATATGCCTTCTCAGAGCACCTGAAAGTATCAGGTTTTTATACAGAGACAAACAAAAGAATTTCAACGTTCTCACTTCTACTTTCAATCCTCTGGAAAGGAATTCACCTGAAGCCGTTCTTCCTTAAGAGCTTGCCTGAGAGAGTGAGAGCAAATTGCCTGAAGCCTCATTCCTTCGTAACCCATCTTCACAGCTTTCCTGGTAAAGACAGTCTTTCTTGGCATTTGACGAAGGAGAATAGCCACAGTTTCTACAGAGCAGGAGGCAGGCACTAGGTGCTTTAAGTCATTTTAGTTTATAGACTATTTATGCTATGTGCTCATCCAAAGCATTTAAAAACACAGCACCTTGTAAGGAAGAAGTATTTGACTATCCTCTCCTACTTACGGTACTTTGTGCTGCTTAGAGGAAAGTGGTCAGGCGGACCAGTAGAACAACCTGGAAAACTGAGACTGGAATGTGATATGCCCTGCCTCCACGAAGGCCTCCAGGTCTTGTTCCCACAGCCTGCATGTGGGTCACACGCCTAACTGCAGTTATAGTTCACCACCTTGCTCATCTGGGCAGAGAAGGGCCTCAGAACCACACCACAGCAGTGCGTTTCCTAAAGCTAGTGGGTGTTTCCTGGGAACAAGTGCACTCAGAATCAACCATGTCTTCCCTTCTGTCTCCATGTTGATGGGGGCAGTCCTAACCCCACCCACACCTAGGAAAGAGTGACCTATCTAAGGAAACAGCAAGAGAACCTCTAGCATTGGGAAGCAACATCAGGCCAAACCAACCAACGGACTTGGGAGCAAAGAATCAAGTACAAAAAAAAAAAAAGAGTGGACAGAGGAGATGCCATTCTGCATGAGGAGAGGGGAGAGGAAATGGTGATGCTGGCAGGAATGCTTACAGATTTCAGACCCAGGCAATGTTTACAGCCAAGTTAGCCTCTCTCTGACGCCTTGAAAGGACTACTTTCTATGAAGGAGTGAGAGCTGGAGCCACCATGAGGGAACAAACTCCACACACAGACAAGCTAGAAACCATCAGAAAACCATGTAACTGGCCTTACCGGAAGGTGACTGAGAGGCACGTCCACTTGGCCCAGGAAGTCGTCTCGTGTCTGTAAAGAAAAGGACAAAGAGTTAGTGCTTCCATCCACTCACTCAGCACGCCTTAACAATGATTTTCTTGCAGAGAGGTAGTGGTCCAGGAATGGACACTGGAGGCAGCAGGGAGGGTGGAAGGCACAGGGCCACGACGAGACTCAGAGAACTGTCATCAGAACTGGATGCTGGTATGTTCCTGCATCTGGTCTTTAACCGGCTGACACCGGTTAATGCCTCCTTCTAAACAGAAAGTGAGGACTCATTTCCTAGGATTGGGAGTCTGTGATCAGGAGGGGAAATGTGAGGCCAGTTGAGGCTTTGGGGGAAGAATTGGGCCCAATGTAAAATGGAGACAATACAGAAATGTTGGGAACCTGCTAATGAATATTGCACACTATAAAGTTGGCTTTGAGAGTCTCAGGCCGTGTATGTGGCTCAGTTATTATCAGATCTTATTGACGCCAGCTCATTTTTAAAAAGTCATTTCAATCCAGTAAGCGCATTGCTGGCTAATCCACACTTGGGGATTAGGTCTCTAATTCTGGACACACATGTCCCTTCATGTCACCATCTACCACGCAGTGTGCTTCTTCCCGACTTAAAGGGGACCCGGGCTGAGTTCCAGGAGACATTCCCAGGTCTCCGCTGAAGTAAGAACTCAGGTTCAGGAGCCCGTGGCCTGGACCACAGGGAGCCACACCATGCCTTGCCTGACCTGAGGCACAGATCAAAAGATAACATTGATAGCCACTGCACCACACACGATACTGAGAAGTTGAACGTCTTTTTTACAATCATTCTCTTCAATGGTTGTTCAAAGGGGTTCCAGTTCAACATGTCAGCTTACGAGTACAATGCATCTGGATCAGCATCCTCTCCCATCTCCCCAAACCTACTCATCCCCTCAATTTTCCTAGTTCCACTTTCACATAGGTACATGGAATATTATGACGGCACTGAAGCTGGAACATTCTTTATGCATAACCAAATTCACCCCACAGTGAGGAAAAACCAAAGAGAGCATCCAGATGACCACATTCTAAACTCTGGGCTCCGACGGTCGCTTTGCTGCTTTACTAAGAAATAGTCTCATTTACAGAAACAATTTTCCAAATGCACTTAAAAAAAATCCTTTCTCTTCCATTTAGAAAACCAGCAGGTAAAGACGAACAAGATTTATAGAAATGTCTTACTGCAGATTTAGGAATTTCTTTTTGGTTAAAAATATGTATTTTTTTGGTTAGTTGGAAAACCATCTGTCTCCTCTAAAGGATGCATAAAGGATAACGAGAGATCAAAATCAGCATTGGTTGGGTGCTGCATGGAAGAATGAGACTAGTCAATATTTTTTTTTCATGCATTTTAAAAACTGCTATTATAAAAGTGATATACGGAGAGCTTATAGTTATATAAGTCAGATAAAGAGTGTTATTTCTTTTCTTTTCTTCGTCAATCCTGGGGCTTGAACTCAGAGCCTAGGCACTGTCTCCGAGCTTTTCTGCTCAAGGTTAGTGCTCTATTACATTGAGCACACTTCCAGTTTTCTGGTGGTTAGCTGGATATAATAGTCTCATGGGCTTTTCTTTCTGGGCTGGCTTTGAACCATGATCCTTAGATCTTAGCCTTCTGAGTAGCTAGAATTATAATAAGTGGCACCTGGCCACTTTTGGAACAATGTCACCCCTTCCCTCCTTCTCTCCCCATTTTTTTTCTCCCATCTCTTTCCACAAATTGTATACTTAATTTTCAACATAGTATCTAGTCAGTTCCATGGCTGCATTAGTTCACCCTTTGTTTCTCCATTTCTGTGCCCCTCCTTATTCTCCCAGACAGATCAACTAACAAATAAGACAAAAGGAAAAGAAAACAAAAACAGCAAGCAAGAAAAAAAAACCCTCCTATTTCCATTTCCTGGAGTTCATTTGGATATTATTTTATATGATCATATGCCTATAGGTATTGTGCCTTTGTGTTCTTCTCCTAAGAATATCCTCTTTTGAGACAAGCTAATCTTTCTGATGAGATTTTCAGTTCTAGTATTTCTCCACTCTATCTTCCACAGCCCAACCTGGTGACACCTTGTTCTGAATAAGGCTGCAGGGAGATGCCAACAAACTGTGTGTGTTTTACCAAGGGTAGCAGTCAGCCAGAAGGCCTGGAAACTAACCAAAATTTTGCTTCCCAGCTCGTAGGCCTATTCCCCCTTCTACTCTCCCCCCATCCCCCCTGTGACTCACACCTAGGACAACCACACACAGAGCTGGGGAACAGGCTTGCTCATTCTGCATCTGGCTGATTTTGTCATAATTTTAAAGCTGGTATAAATGTCAGCTAACTGTACTATCAACAAAGAAATGGAAATTTACTTAACACTGGTCATAAATTGTGGGTCTGCCTAATGGGCAGCATGGTGTGGCTACTTGTCCCATGATCATGATCATTATCACCACCACCACCACCACCACCACCACCACCACCTCCTTTTCTTCTTCCCACTGCAGACAGGAAGGAGGACAGAGGATGTGATCTCCAGAAGACAACAGTACTCAAATTGCTCTTTCCTAACCTGGTATTGAAAGGCTATGCATGAATCATAAACTTAGTTGCATTTTAGTAAAAATTCACAGGACAGCTATACACCCCCGTTTTTCTGCTAGGGGCTCATCAGAGTTCTAAACTGATCAAATGAGTCCAACTTTATCCAGATACCACAAGTCAGGAGCCCAGCCCTGAACTCTGTAGCACAAAAATCTTCCACAGTGCCTACCCCCCACAGGCTCTGTGTCCAGGTTGCAGCGTCAGGAGGCAGACCTCACTCACTGAGCCTTCTCAGTTCAGATGAGCAACCTGAGTGGCTTCCCACTAGGCGTGGCCTGCCAAGGCTCCTGCTTGAGCAGGCTGGCTCCCAAGCTGGCTCTTCACCCTTGCACTGCTGCATTGCACTGAATGGCAGAAAAGCAAGGGCATGGCTCTCAGTATGGGGGTCCAGAAGGGAGTCTCATGACAGCAAAGACTAGGGGGCCTTTAGGGGGTTCTGTTAAAGTACTCACTAGGCATTCACTTGCATGCTGCCTCTTACCCTGCCTGCTCTTTCCTCAAATGAAAACAGGGAACTGCTTCCAGGTTAGCAGATTGGGTTCTTTCACTGCATTTTCACAAGGTAAATGTTCTCTGGGCACGCTCCTATCAGAATTCGTTTCATATGCACCAGATCACAAAACCAAATCAAACTCAGTATTTTTATTAAAAAAACAAGCAAGCAAGCAAGCAAACAAACAAACAAAAACCCATGGTGGGCATCAGCGGCTCATGCTATAATCCTAGCTACTCAGGAGGCTGAGATCTGAGGATTGTGGTACAAAGCCAGCCCAGGCAGGAGAGTCCATGCGATTTTTATTTCCATTGAACCAGCAAATAAAGCCAAAATTAGAGCTGTGGTTCAAGTAGTAGAGCACCAGCCTTGAGCAAAAAAGTAAAGGAAGTCTTAGTGCTAGCACAATGTGTGTGTGTGGTGTGGGTGTAAAGTGGCTTTCATACTGTCAGCTTCTCTGCTGTTTAAAGAGGGAAAGATGGAAACCCACCACTCACCAAAAGAGAGTAAGCTGTGTCCTGGAGACATAACAACAAACTAAAACAATCTCTAGGTCCACAAAATCTCGGGGCTCACTCACAGGTAAAGCCATGATGAGCAGGGTGGATGATCTATACCTTGCTGGCTGTATCTGCCATTGGGAATACCATCTTTTTTATTTTATTTTTTTGTTGGTACTAGTACTAGAGGTTTTGCTTGTTTGCTTTTGTTGTTGTTGTTTGGCCAGTCCTGGGGCTTGACCTCAGTCTGGTCACTGTCACTGAACTGCTTTTGCTCAAGGCTAGTGCTCTACCACTTGAGCCACATTGCCACTTGTTTTTTTCTGTGTATGTGGTACTGAAGAATCAAACCCAGGGCTTTATGCATGCTAGGCAAGCTCTCTACCACTGAGCCACTTTGCCAGTCTCTACCATCTTTTTTTAAAGGGACAATTTTCTTGAAACATAGGAAGCACAAAAGCGGAAGGCATGGAGAGGAGAGGTGGGGGGAGGGGGCAGCGCGAGCATATGCTGGCAGCCAAGGCTGCCCTGCAGGGGCAGCCCCAGGCCAGCAGAAATGGGTCTAGGGACTCAAGCTGCCCCCAGGTTGCCCATTCAGCTCCCCAGCTCCGCAATGTAAGCATCTTCTAGGTATAGAGTCAACAAGGGAGAACCACAGGAAGTCAGTTTCCACTAAAGAATTTAACACAGTAAACTCTCGGATGGCAGTGGCTGACAAGGAGCTCGGGGAACCGGATGTGGGCCATGCACAGCACTATGGATCAGCCCTTGTTGGCTCTTTAGGTCAAGGCCAGCCATTTGGACCACGCACTCTTAGTCACTCTCACTTTTCTGGTGTTCAGTGGTTTATGGGGTTACACAGCTGGGAGCTGCAGGGCTCCCGAGGGGAGGAAACACCACTGTCTGCCAAGAGCTACGGTGAGGATAAATTCAGGGAACATGGAATCCTAGAGCAGGGCCACCAAGTAGGAGTTTGGGAGAGGCCAGGTAGCAAGGAAGGGCAGTGCAGCAGAAGCATTAGGCTAAAGCAGTGAGGTATGAAGAGAGCTGCAAAGGAACAGGCAGAAGGCCCCTGTCATTGAAGCACAGGCCACAGTGGGATAGTGGTGGCAAGGAGGGATGTAAAGGCTGAGAGGGCACTAGGCAGAGAATGACTGGCAATGAAGATGGTGTGGGTCAGGGGGACAGTGCACGGAGTGTGACAGTACCACAGAGATCTGGCCACCGAGGTACTAAGGGCTTGGCACTCATCTCCAAGAGGTCCCACAACAAGCAGGCTCCTAGACTCTCCTATCAGCAAGGTGAGCGAGCCTTCAAGGGGGCCATTGGTAATCCCTGGCAATCAATGTTCCTGACTTGCTGATGTCAGAAAACAAACATGGAAGATGGAGGAGAAAGAGGCCCAGGTCAATAAACAGTGTGG